TAATGAATTTAGTAATTTAATAATAAAAAATTAAATAGATTGAGAATGAAGATTTGTGGGCGTAAGAATACCCCCACTCTTAGATAAATTTGTANTAATGAGTTTAGTAATTTAATAATAAAAAATTAAATAGATTGAGAATGAAGATTTGTGGGCGTAAGAATACCCCCACTCTTAGATAAATTTGTATAGATCCATCCCCGAAGGAACGGGGCATCATAATTTTTCATCACAATACTATATGGGTTGGTATTTGGATTGTAGTTTGGGAATATTTCGTCCACACTCCCTTTAGTTAGGTTTAAATTCCATGACACTCATCTCAATTATGAAATTTCACTATCAACCCTTGTTAGTGATTGTTGGATTACGACGTTAACGATAATAATTAATTTATAGAAATATGCCTGAGTATGCTATAGGATAAATTATATTCACACCCCTTGTAAATAGACTTAACTTCCACAACACTTCATCTAAATAGGTCAAACTTTAACAACACCCCCATCTCGATTTTAAAATTTCGATACGCTCATTTTTAGTTTTATTATATTAACCTTTAGGTTAGTCAATTTAATATTTAATTTTATCAAATAAATGTATTTTATTTAATTTAGGCTAAATTAACATCTCATCTCATCAAATTAATACAAAATTGATATTTAATTTTATCAAATTAGTATTTAGTTATATTAATTTAATATTTTATTTCATTAAATTAATATTATTTCACTCAACAGAAAATTGACTTTCAATTTTATTAAATTAAAATTTAATATTTTAAATAGAAAATTCAATTCCATTAATTTAACATTTAACCTTATCAAATTAATGTCATTTCTTCAATTGAACACCAAATAAACATTCAATTTCATTAAAGCTTTTAATTAAAATTAAAATTTATCAAATCAATGCTAAATTAATATTTAATTTTATCAAATTGATATTTAATTTTATCAAATTAAGACCAAATTTATTCAATTAATATTAAATTCAATCAAATAATATTTAAATTTTATATATGAAGGGTGATGTGTGAAGAGTGGTCGGGTGACATTGTAGAGGACAAATGATAGCAGAGGAGTTATAAATGGATGATATTTTGACATTAAATTATCGATTGTAATTTTATTATAGAAAAATTATTTTTAACTGTAAAAATTGTAAAAACTTGATTATGTAATCAAATGAGTGATAATATGACGTCTAATATTATAAAAAACTATCATGCAACGTTTTAAAATGATAAAAATTTATTAAGATAATATAATGATCGAAATCAAACTTGTTGCCTGGCTAGAGATTATATGATGGAGAAAAGATTTAGGGCATTTTGGTCTATTTATATAACAAAAGGTAGTTTTGGCATTTTTATTATATATTTAGTTAAATCATTACTTTATCCACTAGTATAGACAAAAGTTACCATTAATGGGGTATTATTAATTTTAAAGTACAAATCCGAAGAGAGTGCAATGAAGTTTCAAAAGAATGAGGCGTCATTGATTTTAGACCTTACTACATGGGATGGGAATAAAGTTTTCCCTAGTAGTTTTTGTTTCATTGACAAAAAATAATAGAATTATAAAATTTAGTGGTGTCAATTTGTGTCATATTGTAAAATTTTGAATTGTGTCATTTTTAAGTCTTTTTTTGGTGTGTCATATTTGTGTCAGTATTTATATTAATAAAAAATAATTTAATTTTAAAATAACTCGTATGATACTATGTAAATAAATTTAAAAAGTAATAAAATTCATATTTTTTACTTATAATATCATCTATTCGTATTTAATTTTAATTTAATTCATTTATTATTTGTAATAATTAAATATGTCATTTCGCATTCATATCGTGATTGACACCCTAATAAACGGAACATATGAGTTAAAGAGCTTTAGTTGGCAAAACTTTGACAATGGGGTTAGGTTCAGCCCAAAAAGTATAGAAAAGGATATCTAGGGCATGTCAAGGCATCGTTGGGAGCAGCGTCGGAGCCAAAAAAATCATGTCAGAGTGTGGATAAATATTTTAACAAATTAATTTTTTTTTTTATAATCAATAGAAATAGGACAATAATTTATATTTAATTATATATTATTTAATACTTAAAAGGTCATTAAATCCAACGTACCAATTTGGTAAGATTATTATATACAAACGACAACAAATTTTTTTTTTTTACAAAATATAGGCTAATTAAAATCATTTAAAATTGACTCCAGTGAATTTTCATTCTTTAAAACTGTTGCATAACAACTTTATTATTTTTTATATACACCATAATTTTATCACTTTGGTCTTTATATATATAACATGTCCAAAATGTGTTAAACAAATTCACATTTATTTGATATAAGTGTACACTAATTGATGTGTCAAAAAAATAAGGTGTGCATAATTAAAAATATTAAAAAAATACTTGAAATATATATAGGTAATGTTAAAAAAAAAAATTGAGGTTGGACATGTGCTTCGTGGGCATATGCTGGCTTCGGCCATGCTCTCTACTAAATCTATCAACTGTGTAAGAAACGAGAACAAAATCTAAGGAACTGAGGAAGGAACTTTACTCTGTTTCTTCTGGTTGGGCAACTGGGAGTGAGTGAGACAGAAATAAAAAAAAAAAAAGATAACTAATAAAATAAGTGTTACTTATGTCTGTCAAGTGGGTCAAAAATTTTATTTTTTAATGGTGGGCCAAAAGATTTATTTTTTTAATAGGTTTGGGTGGATTTGTGATATGTTAAATATTTGATTTTTTAATAAGTTTTGATAAATAGTGATGGACTCAAATTTTTTTATTTTAAACGGGCTTAATTTTTTAATTCTTTTGAGTAAATAATGTGAGCCTAATATTTTTATCTTAGATTTTGGGTGGACAAAAATAATATATTATACAAATATAATATATATATACATATAACTTATATTTTTTTTTTGAAGGTGGGCACGAGCCCACCTTGACCCTAGCCTCCCTCCGCCCTTGATTGGGAGGAGAAGAGAGACATATAAGATCATCAATATTTGATTTTTTTGAGAATTCTCAAATGATAGCGAATTTTGTGCATTGAGTTGTTCACGTAGAGGGAATGAAATTGGATAATCATGTACTTTATCGAATATGGGATGCATGAAATTTACATTTCTGCCCATAACATTTATTTTCTTACCTGTTCTCCATTCTTTTAAAGGAAAACTAATTAAAAGATAACTTTAAAAAGTGGGAAAAGTTGGCAAAAGCAGTGATAGAGGTGTTAAATGGTGTAATAAAATCTACTCGCCTTTAAATTGTGTGCAATAATGTATCGATTATTGCCCAAATTCAAACATCATTGTTTATTGACCCAACGATTAGAATAATACTATTAAGGTATGTCAATTGCTACATTATTTGGATAATAAATTAGCTAAGATTTTTAACTCCTCAGGACATCTCCAACCCTTACTCAAATTTAAATTTAAATTTAAGTAAAAAAAATATAAAAAACTTGTTCTAACCCTTGACTCAAACTTATACTAAATTAAGAAAAACTCATTTTTTTTACTCAAATGCATCTCTAATTATGACTCAAATTTTTACTCAAATATAAATTAATATTTGAGTAAAAAGTTTGATTTGATATAAAGGACTCTAATGGATAAATTCAAATTTAAAAAAGAAGAGATCCAAATTTAAATGAGGGCAAACTCAAATTTAAAAGGGAATAAGGACGCTCATTGAATTTTTAAAAGATTATGAAATCTCATCATTAAAAATTTGAGTAAAAATTTGAATCTCCCTTGATTTGAGTGAAAAAATGAGTTCCCTTGATTTGGTATAAGTTTGAATCAAGGGTTGGAGCAAAAATTTTAAACTTTTTTACTCAAATTTAAATTTAAATCTAAATTTGAGTAAGGGTTAGAGATGCTCTGAGGAGACTCAAATTTTTACTCATATATTTAATAGTGAGATTTTATTGTCTTTTAAAGATTCAATAGTCATCCTTACTTCTTTTTAAATTTAGGTTTGTCCTCATTTAAATTTGGGTCTAATTTTTTTAAAATATGAATTTGTTCATTGGAGTCCTTTATATCAAATTAAATTTTTTATTTAAATATTAATTTAAATTTAAGTAAAAATTTGAGTTTTAGTCGATGATGTTCTTATGTGATTCCTAACCGTTGACTACCAAAAAACGTAAAACAAACTTGAAATGATTGAGAGTAATATCCTACACAAAAACCTATTCTCATAAATATTAAAAACTAGAGGGCGTGTTATTGTAATTTTACCCGGACAGGAGGAATGTCGGTTTTGATTTGCTGGACTTGCTTGATCTTCACGCCTAAAAATTTGGTTGCATGAGTTTTACGCACCACCACGTGGTGTGCAGACCTGATCAATCGCCGCCTTCTAACAAATTGTCGAGAGAAATTTTTGCATGAGTTTTACGCACCGCGTGATGTGATACTGCCCACGTGGTGTGCAGAAGACCTAAGTAACGGCCACCACCTAACAAATGTTTTTAAAATAACATTATTCTTAAAAAATTACTTGTACCTAGGACTTTGAAAGAAGAAAAGAAAAAAATCGTAATGGATGCGATTATAGCACCAAATTATCACTTGTAGGTATTTTTTTTTTAATTTTTTATTTAATAAAAATGTGTCGAGTGTTAATTTTTAATTTATCAATTTCTCAATCAATTTGTTACAAATTATCCTAATTTAAAATCAATGACTCAAATTAAATTTTGAGTATCTTGTAATTGCATAAATTGTGAGTATCTCTCCCCTCTCATTCCCTCTCTCTCTTCCCCGGTACTTCGACTCCACGTAAATCTGTTTTTAATTTAAAATTTTAATTTAATAATCTAAATTATTGAATAGATAAAAATTTTTAATATATACTGAAATTTACAATAAAATTAATGATTAAAATTATCAATTTACTTTTTAAATTCACGTCACATAACTCCGTTAAAAAACGCACGACTCATTCCTCAGAATTCACCACCATGTCTGCTTCTAAGCTCATCGGCCCTCCAGAAATCCATCACCCCAGGCCACCATTGGCCGTCGCCACCACCACCATTGGTGGCGGTGAAGCCAGCAACACGACCACCAGCCCACCAATGGGCTTCACCGAAAACAAATCTTTAACCTACCTATCGAGTGGTAATCCTTGTTTAGATTTCTTCTTCCACATAGTCCCCAAAACACCATCCGAAGATCTCACCGAGCGTCTCTTACTCTCATGGAAGCACAACCCATTAACAACCCTGAAGCTTATATGCAATCTGAGAGGTGTTCGAGGTACCGGAAAGTCCGATAAGGAAAATTTCTACAGTGCTGCACTTTGGCTTCACAAACACCATCCCAAAACCCTAGCCTGCAATCTTGACATTTTTGCCGATTTTGGGTATTTCAAGGATTTGCCTGAAATTCTTTTTCGAATTTTTGAAAGCCCTGATGTTCGGACCATTGCGAAGAGTGAATGGGACAGTAAAAAGAAGGGTAAAGGAGGGAGTAGAGGTTTGTGTTTTCTTGGGAAGAAGAGAGTCCATGGAGCGAAATCTAGAAAGGGACATAAAAAGAAGGTAGAGAAGAAGAGGAGTTTGAGGGCTAGAATACCGAGAGACCAAAGGGTGGAGGCAAATATGGAGAAAGTGAAGGAGGAGAGAGAGAAAGCTAGAGATCTGAGGGAGAAAACAGAGGTTGCCCAGGCCGAAAAGGCCTTCGAAAGGTACAGTCGGGACACAGATTACAGATTCTTGCATGATCAGATTTCAAATCTTTTTGCCGAGCGTTTGAAATCTGGCATTCAGTATTTGAATCCCGGTGAGACTAAAAAAATCAGTCTTGCGGCAAAATGGTGTCCAACGATTGAATCATCTTATGATAAGTCCATTTTGATCTGCGAAAACATTGCTAGAAGGTTGTTTTCCCGGGAGGACTATATCGAATACCAAGAAATTGAAGAGGCACATTATGCTTATAGGGTTAGAGATAGATTAAGGAAGGAAGTTCTAGTTCCTCTTCATAAGGTTTTGGAGCTACCAGAGGTGCATATGAGTGCTAAACTATGGGAGACAATTCCATACAACCGTGTTGCTTCAGTGGCGATGAAGAATTACAAAGAAATCTTTTTACGCCATGACAACCAGAGGTTTAAGGAGTATCTTGACAATGTGAAGTGTGGTAAGGCTACAATTGCTGCCGGAGCATTGCTTCCCCACGAGATTATCGCGTCCTCGAAGGATGGAGATGGTGGACAAGTTGCAGAGCTTCAATGGGCAAGAATGGTGGACGACCTGAAAAAGAAAGGGACGTTGAGAAATTGCATTGCTGTGTGTGATGTTTCGGGGAACATGTCTGGGACGCCAATGGAGGTTTTTGTAGCATTGGGGTTGTTGATTTCAGAGCTAAGTGAGGAACCATGGAAGGGAAAAGTGATTACATTCAGGTAAAAATCCCGAGCTTCATGAAGTCACAGGGGATAGTCTTTGTGAGAGAGATGGAGTGTGACATGAACACAGACTTTCAGAGAGTTTTTGATAGGATTTTGAATGTGGCTGTTGATGGGAATTTAAGTGAAGATAAGATGATAAAGACAGTCTTTGTCTTCAGTGACATGGAATTCGATGAAGCCTCCGGGCAAGGTGGTTATGATTCATATTAGGATTTGTATTCAATTTCCTTGTCTCCAAAGAGTGATTCTGACATGGACGAGGAACAGAGTTGGGGGCCTAGGTTTGGTTATACAGGAAGAAAGATGAAAAATAGGCCAAATGGGTGGGAGACAGATTATGAAGTGATACAGAGGAAGTATAGGGAGAAAGGTTTCAATAAGGTTCCAGAAATTGTGTTCTGGAACCTAAGGTACTCTCCTAGTACTCCTGTTTCAACTAAGCAGAGTGGGGTTGCAATGGTCAGTGGGTTCAAAGAATATGGTGAAAATTTTCTTGGAGGAAGGTGGGATTGTCAACCCAGAGGCTGTGATGGAGCAGGCCATCTCTGGTGAACTATACCAGAAACTGGTTGTTTTTGACTGATTAATTGCCTCCAGCAATTGAATGGCCATTAATTGGCTCAACATTTAGTAGTTTTGATAATGATGATGATGATTATCATGGTTCTGTCCTTTACATCTCTCTTATTATTCTTTTACAGTTCGTTGGTGGAGTAACTGAGTTCTGATTGCACAATCTCTATGAAAATCAATCGTCAATTTTCAATTTTTGAATGCAATATTTGATCTGTTGGTGATCAATGGTTCACTTTTGTAGTGTGGTATGTGCTGTGCTTGAGAGAATTTTAATTCTGATTTAGCATTGTGTTTGAATATGAGTGTGATTTACCGGTTTGTACTTCCTCTTTCTTATGCTTACCTCTACAAAGTGAGCAGTTTCTAGCAGGGACAGTTAATGCCGGTTGGCACTTCAACCATTGACATATCAGCAAATTATTTAAAGAATCCTCAATACTTCAAAAATATTATACTAAAGCAGCTCGGTCGTTCTCCTTTCTCGAAACGAGCTTACTATTAAAATTTGTCTAATTTTCTTACTTTTCCTCCCAAAAGTTTCAATGATTAGCTATCCTGATGGAGCTAATGATTACAGAGAAATGACATGGAACACTGAAGGTCTAAATATTTGCTCTGAGGCTAACTTTTGCCTGCTTAATGTCTTTTGAACCTATGAAATCCAAACATTGATGAACAATATAAGCTACTTTTGGAAGCTAACACCATACAGCAACTTTTGGAGAACAGAAGCACAACTCTGCATTAATCTATGCCCAGCAATGTCTGTACCGGCTTATAAACAAGAACCTGAGAACGAGTGACAAAAAACTGTTGTGTAACACCTTTTCCTCAACTGCAAGGTATCCAAGATATTAGGCTTCCTAACATGGTCCCTTGGTGTTGAAGTTTCCTCTTACTTCACCCTTATGGAATTACTCCACCATCTTGAAAATCTCAACCAGCCTTGAACACAGGCAGATAATATGACTGTGTGAAGAACTCTACTCTTGTAAACAGGGGCACAACAAAACTATGCAAGTGATAAATGATGATTTCGGTTGCCAACTCTACACGTATTGACAACAATACTAGCTGAATCTAATTTGAGTACCTTATATGCTGCTACGTTAGATTGGCAGTGGACTCAATGGTGTAATTCGCTGGCAATAGAAATGCATTATATTCTTAAATGAAGTCCCTAAAATATAAGCAAAATATCAAAATTATAAACAAAAATGGGAATTATATTGAAAAGCATGCACTTGATTTTTCATAACTTTTGTGTCCTTAACTGCCTTACTACTGCTTGAACTTGTAAACATGATCAGCATTTGGTATCTGAAAAGCACTGGGGAACATAAAACAAAATAAAAAACTCTAATGCAGAACTCAAAACTTATATGCATTAAACCCCTGATAATCAGTCATAAACAGCAAGTTTATTGTACTCTTCACCAGCAATAGCAAGCTCCATGACTTCCTCTGGATTGATAACTCCACCACCCTCCAAGAAAATAGTTAACAGATTCTTCGAAAAGCCACTCACCAGGGCCACACCACTCTGCCTGGCCATCACAGGAGTCGACCTTGAATCCCTGAGGTTCCAAAACACAATTTCCGGCACACTTTGGTAACCATTCTCCCTGAATTTCCTCTGTATGGCCTGGTAATCTGTCTCCCAAGGATTCTTCGATGCTTGATCAAATTCCATATCACTAAAAACAAAGAGTCTCTTTATCATCTGTTCTTCACTCAGCTTCCCTTCAACAGCAACATCCAAAATCCGTTCAAAAACTTTCTGGAAATCTGTATTCATACCCCATGTCATATCTCTCACAAATTGAGTCTTTGCGAAAAGGGTATTACCCTCAACTTTCTGAATTTCAGGATCAGCACTGAATGTTATTAATTTTCCCTTCCATGGTTCCTCACTTAGCTCTGAAAGCAATACACCAAGAGCCACAGATACCTCCATTGGTGTCCCCGTCATACTTCCCGATACATCACATACAGCAATACAATTACTCAACTTCCCATTCTTTCCAAGATCATCAACCATTCTTTTCCACTGAAGCTCTGCAACTTCCCCACCATCCTCATCCCCCAAAGCAGCTATAATCTCATGAGGAAGCAATGCACCAGCTGCGATTTTCGCCTTCCCCTCCTTCACATTCTCAAGATACTCCTTAAACCTCTCATTGTCATGTTCCAAGAAAAGCTCTTTGTAATTCTTCATTGCCACAGAGGCAACCCTATTGTATGGAAGCGAATTCCATTGATTTGCACTCATGTACACTTCAGGCAATTCCAAGGCCTTATGTAGTGGCACAAGGACTTGTTTTCTCAGCCTATCTCTGACCCTATAAACATAGTGAGCCTCTTCAATTCCTTCATATTCGGGGTAAGATTCTCTGGGAAATAATTTCCTCGCGATGCTCTCACAAATCAAAGTGGACTCATCATAAGAAGAATCAATGTTCGGACACCATTTTGCAGCCAAACTGATCTTCGTAAGCTTCCCAGAATTCAAAATTTCAACATCAGCCTTCAAGAGCTCTGCAAACAAGTCCGAGATCTTATGATGTAAGAACCTATAATTCACATCGAGGTTGTACCTCTCTAAGGCCTTTTTAGCATTGGCAAACTCTTTTTCCTTCCTCAAAATCCTAGCCTGCTCTGCTTCGTTCTTCACTTCCTCCAAATTCTTCGCAATTTTATCCTTAATTCCTCTCTTGAATTTCCCACAAAACCTTTTCCCTCGCACCACTGCGCTTGATTTTTTATTGAACCTTTCATTTTTCTCGAATTTTCTAATTTCGGGTCCTCTTAGAATTCGGTAAAGTATTTCGAGGAAGTCCTTGAAGTACCCAAAATCGGCGAAAGCTTTCACGTTACAAGCAAGGGTTTTGGGGTGGTGGTTGTGGAGCCAAATCGCCGCCGTGTAGAACCCTTCTTTGTCCGACTTTCCTGTGCCCCTGACTCCTCTGAGATTACCGATCAGTTTGAGGGTAATCAACGGGTTGTGGGTCCAGGCCAATTGTAACCGTGCGATCAGATCTTGTGGTGGGGTGTCTGGGACAACATGGAAGAAGAAGTCTAGACAGGGATTGCCGGATGATAAGAAGGTTGCAGAGAGATTTTCAGTTAGGCCCATCGGTGGTGTCTGAGAGAGATCGAGGTTGGTGGTCTGAGAGATCAGAGTGTCCATGGGGTCTTTGGTGGATTCGTTTTCAGCAAAACCCATAATTGGGTTTTGAGAAGTGGTGAGGTTGGTGGTGTCTACGTTGTGTGCGGTGAAAGGTGGCGTAAGGTGGACTTCAGGTGGACCGAGGAGGTTGAGAAAGGTGGCCATTTTATGGTGAATGTGGTATCAATTGAAGGCTGTCTTCCCCCTTTAAAAAGACCCAGATCTCACCGACTAAACACGAAACCGACACAAACCCAGCCCCACACAATTTTAAAATTAATATGATTATTTAATATGCATAATAAATAATTTATATTAATATTTAATACTTAAAATATATTAAATAATTATTTTCATTAATTTTGACAAGAATATGAATAATAATGATACGATACACATAATACAAAAATATCTTCACGTGAGTCAAACCACATCATGTGAATTGACACCTCTGAAAAGGTTCAAAAAAAATTAAAATTAATAATATTATTTAGTCTTAATTTATTTTAATAATATAATTTTTTAATTTAATTTATCATAATTATTAAATTAATAAATTTAATAATTATAAATAATTAAATCTACATATGATATCAATAAATTAGATAAAAGTAATATTACTCGTCGAAAAAATTGTAACTAATGAATAGAAATTATTTTTTAAATGTTCTAAAATATTTAACTAGATCTTAAAAGTGATGGAATTTTTTTGTTTATTAGATGCTACCATTAGTCGTTATTATGCATTGATTTTTAAATCAATCTTTATTATTTTGTTGAATTTTAATTTGATTACTTAAGTTGTAATTTAATTTAATTAAATCCTAATAAATGTAATTTAATGCTTCCTTGGGCTCTACACCTTAATGGATTCGCCCGCAAGGAAGTGCCTTTTAGGGGGCAACGAGAGTGATTGTCATATTACCAGAATTAATTGCAAAAATTACGTAGCAATGAAGAAAGAGTAAATTATACCTACAACCCCTAAATTATGATTTTTATGTCAATTAAGTTTTTAAAAAAATTTTTGTGTCAATTGAGTCATTGAACTCTCTAATTATGTCAATTGATCCATTTTGTCTACTTCTGTTAGTTTTTTGTAATAGAAAGTGATAAAGTGTATCACTTACGTGATATAAATGGATAGAGTAAACTATACATGTAACCATTAAATTATGACTTTTGTATTAATTACGCACCTAAACTTTTTTTTTTTTGGGTCAATTGAGCTCATAAACTCTCAAATTGTATCATTTGAGCCCTTTTATCTTTTTGCGTCATATAATCACGTGACTAGCATACTCTGATAAAAGTAGACAAAATATTTTAATTGACACAATTAAGGACTTCAAGAGATCAATTGACCCAAAAGTCATTACTTGAAGGTCATATGGATCCTTTACTCATAAAGAAATAGTAAATAAGTAGGAGTAAAATTCTCTCTAATATATTTTTTTAAACTTTTTCTTGACGTATTATGTGGGACTCATTACATAAAAGTGAGTCTTTTACTTAGTAATGATAAATGATTTATCAAAAAAAGAATTAAAAAAATATATATTGAACAGAGATATAAATTTATTTAAATCCATCCGATTCTATTTGCCCCACAAATCTAGTCATGACGTAAAAATGATAACGAGAACGCATGGGTCCGTACAGTGTCAAAAGGAATAATCAATTGCGAAAATTGAGACTGGTTCGTTTGGTTGACGTTTTTGTTTTGTGTTTCATGTTTTTGTTTTTATTTTTGTTTTTTAGATAAAACAAAAATAAAAATATGTTTGAACTTTTGTTTTAGTTTTATATAAAAAAAGTTGTTTTGAAAACAAGGCTAAAAAACAAAGAACAAAAAAAAAAAGATGTTCTAGGAAACAAAGAAAATAGAAAACACTCACGCTCCACGGCCTTAGTTAATGAGATCCTCCATTCGAATCCCATTAGGGGTTTTTTTTCTTTGTGTGTTTACTATAAAAATCCTTTGCCTCTTTCTTTTTTCTTTTTTCCTTTTTCGTCACTCTTTCATTTCCTCTCTCTCTCTCCCTCTCTCTCTCACTCACATACGACGAAGATCAATCTCACAAAGAACGAATCCATGAGGATGAAGATCGATCTTTTAGACGAAGACGAAGAACGTCTTTTTTCATGAACCCTGACAAAAATAACGAAGACGATGACAAATCCATAAAACCCACGCGAAGACGACGAAGACGAATCCAAGAACCCAGACTATAAAGATGAAGACGAATCCATGAACCCAAGCGAAGAATCTCAGATAAAGATGAAGATGATACCCATTTTTTTTGTCACTTTGAAACCCTCTTTCTTTGTGATTTTAGCGTGTGTGTGTGTGCAATTTTCTGTGTGTGTGCCTGATTTCTATGTGATTTCAGTGTGTGTGCGTGTCTAATTTCTCTGTGTGTGTATGTATGATTTCTATGTGTGCGTGTGCGCGCGATTTCTCTTTGTGTGTGTATGCCTAATTTCAGTATGTGTATGTGTATGCCTGATTTATGTGTGCGTGTGTATTTGATTTTTGTGTGCGTGTGTATGTGTATGAGAACGAGTGGGTTACCTTGGCACTTAAAGACTCCCAAATATATTTTTTGTTTTTGGTGTTTACCACAAAATAAAAACAAAAATGGTCTCTGTTTTCTTATCTTTTGAAAACACGAAAACAAAAACGTTACCAAACGGGTCCAAGTCCTCCTTAACAGACTTATAATGAGTTTAATTTGTCAAGGAAACTTATTTGAAGATAAGTTCATTTTTAATCTTACTAATAAGTAGTTAAGTCCACTATTTTTTTAAAACTCTCAAATACCCCTACTTGAAAGCAACTTTAAATTAGTTTCAAAATTTGAAAATTATTATCTCTTAATTCACTATCAATGAAGATATACCAATAAATTTTTGTACATAAATTTGAAATTCAAATTCAAAAACAATTAATACTCTCTCCCCCCCTCTCTCCCTCCCTTTCTCTCTCTCTATAAATTTTATCATGTTTCTATTTTTATGATCATGTTACTGTTTATATTAGTGTTTTTGTTGAACATGTTATTACCATTATTTTTTCAAATATTAATACTCAATTTTATTATTTTTTTGTGTCTAAATGCTTCTACTTTTTATATTTGAATGTTACTATTTTTTGTGTTTAACTGTTACTATTTTTTTTTATGTTACTATATGTATGTATGTATGTGTGTGTGTGTGTGTGTGTATATATATATATACACTACTTATAAATGTCAGCATCTGTAAAAAATTATTGATTTTCTAATTTATCCCTAATTATTATAATAAATCGAATTATACCCTCTTATATACTTTCATCTAATTTTTGTTTTTTACTCTTATTTGACTTTCAACTTATTTTGAACTTTTTTATGAATATTTTTAAATTCTTTTGAACTCATTTATTAGTAATACAATTATATACAATCTTCTATATCTATATAAATAAGTAAAGTCTTATACATGTTAAATTATTATACATATGTAGTTACCAAATTAAATTCCACAGTCAAATATATTTTATATTTTATTTTTTAGAATGCAATAATATAATAATAGTATAAATGATCTAATCTCAAAATAAATCATTCTAACTCCCTTATTATATCTATATAATAAAGTAGCTTACAATTCAAATTTTAAAAAATAAACAAAATAACTTTTACTATTCGCGGTTGAGATCACTTTAAAGTTAATCTAACGACTAATATTAATATCCTAAATTTAACAAGAAAAATAGGCCCCTAAGGGTGTGTTTGGGGTGATTTTTTAAAAGTACTTTTAAAAATTATTTATCATAAGTACTTTAAAAAATTTAATAGTGTTTGAAACCGTTTCACTACTATCTGTACAACCACCACCATCACCACCACCACCACCACCCCCACCTCCACTGCCTCCGTCACCACCACCCTACCGTCGCCGCCGTCGCCCCCACTGCCNTAAATCCATCCGATTCTATTTGCCCCACAAATCTAGTCATGACGTAAAAATGATAACGAGAACGCATGGGTCCGTACAGTGTCAAAAGGAATAATCAATTGCGAAAATTGAGACTGGTTCGTTTGGTTGACGTTTTTGTTTTGTGTTTCATGTTTTTGTTTTTATTTTTGTTTTTTAGATAAAACAAAAATAAAAATATGTTTGAACTTTTGTTTTAGTTTTATATAAAAAAAGTTGTTTTGAAAACAAGGCTAAAAAACAAAGAACAAAAAAAAAAAGATGTTCTAGGAAACAAAGAAAATAGAAAACACTCACGCTCCACGGCCTTAGTTAATGAGATCCTCCATTCGAATCCCATTAGGGGTTTTTTTTCTTTGTGTGTTTACTATAAAAATCCTTTGCCTCTTTCTTTTTTCTTTTTTCCTTTTTCGTCACTCTTTCATTTCCTCTCTCTCTCTCCCTCTCTCTCTCACTCACATACGACGAAGATCAATCTCACAAAGAACGAATCCATGAGGATGAAGATCGATCTTTTAGACGAAGACGAAGAACGTCTTTTTTCATGAACCCTNATCTCACAAAGAACGAATCCATGAGGATGAAGATCGATCTTTTAGACGAAGACGAAGAACGTCTTTTTTCATGAACCCTGACAAAAATAACGAAGACGATGACAAATCCATAAAACCCACGCGAAGACGACGAAGACGAATCCAAGAACCCAGACTATAAAGATGAAGACGAATCCATGAACCCAAGCGAAGAATCTCAGATAAAGATGAAGATGATACCCATTTTTTTTGTCACTTTGAAACCCTTTTTCTTTGTGATTTTAGTGTGTGTGTGTGTGTGCGATTTTCTGTGTGTGTGCCTGATTTCTATGTCATTTCAGTGTGTGTGTGTGTCTAATTTCTCTGTGTGTGTATGTATGATTTCTATGTGTGCGTGTGCGCGCGATTTCTCTTTGTGTGTGTATGCCTAATTTCAGTATGTGTATGTGTATGCCTGATTTATGTGTGCGTGTGTATTTGATTTTTGTGTGCGTGTGTATATGTATGAGAACGAGTGGGTTACCTTGGCACTTAAAGACTCCCAAATATATTTTTTGTTTTTGGTGTTTACCACAAAATAAAAACAAAAATGGTCTCTGTTTTCTTATCTTTTGAAAACACGAAAACAAAAACGTTACCAAACGGGTCCAAGTCCT